ATAAAATCTTAAAAAAAGAAAAGAAAAGAAAAGAAAAGAAATCATCTATGCATGTTAACAAACATGCACTGTGGCCTTCTAGACTAGCCCCTGAGCAGAGCTGGTGCATAAGATGAACAAGACACCGTTTCTACCTTCCCCCTTCATCTGGAGGGATCCACACATGACCAACCTAGACAGTAAGACTCGCATTGGAGGGGTCAGGTGTGGTAGCATATAATGACTTCCAGAGTCTGAAGAGTCCAAGGTTTAGACTCGAATGATCTGGCTTCCTAGGCCAGCCTTGCCTCCTTCTGGCTGTGTGACCACAAGTCTCTTCTCTCTCTGAGGCTCCAATTTTCATCTTAAAAATGGGAGATAACAGTAATGTCTAAAAGGGGTGAGAGATATGAATGAGATAAATGAAAACACTAAGTGGCAGGTTTTACAACAATACTGGGTATAGGTGGGTGACCTTGCCTCCTACTTTGCCTGGAACAGACCAGCTGACACCTGTTGAACTAGGGCAATTAATCTTAGCATTCCCTTTCATTCTCAGCAGTGTCCTGTGTTTGCACCATAAATTATGTGGTCATCCTAGTGATAGGTGTGACACTAGAGTTATCCCCACTGTGCCAGGGAGACACAAAGGTTCTATAAGCACTTTAGAGGTAAATTGGACTTGGATGTGGGGGTTGGAGGACAGACCAGGGGCAGGAGAACTTCCAGCTGAATGGGGAGGCCATTCACTGAAGCAGGTAGGGAGAAGGGAGGGCCAGGAAACCCGGAGACAGAAGACGACCCACAATGGACTTGTGGCATTCACCAGTCTTGATCCAGAGGGAAAGAGTAGGGGTTATAAGAGGTAGAGGTCACTTCTGAGGCCAGGGGAAGGAGCTGGGGCCCAGTCAGTATTCAGGTGACATCCAATTAAAATTAGCTTTCAGAATAACCTTGAAAGGCAAGTTCTAGAAAGCTAAAAAACTAGAGCCTCAAATAAAGAAAGAGCAGATTTTGCAGACCAACTTCTTGTATATATTGCTTTCCTTGATCAAAATGTTCCCACAGTGCTCTGCTACCTAACAGAATAAAAGCTGAGATCCTCAGCTTGGTGTTCAAGGCTTCTAATGACCTGGCCTCAACCTACCTCTGGTGAATGGTTCATATTTCACTTGGTCATGTTTGGCCCCTCCCTTCTTCTGAAAACACAAGAATTGCTCCTCCCCTGGTCCAACCATCTGGTCCAGGTGGGGACTATCAATTTGGGCACCCCATTCCCCCAATCAAGGCTGTGAGTGACCATGTGACCAAGCCTGGTCAATCAGAATCCTCCTGAAGGATTTGGAGGATTTGGAACAAAGGGAAGAGAATTTCTCATCTCTCTGGTTAGGAAGCTAGGAGGCATGAGCTAGGGATAGCTGTTGGGCACAGTTCCAGCCTGGAGAGGCAAGTGGCCTGAAAAACCGAGGTAGGAAGAAGAGACGGCTATTGTTTCCTAGGTACAGAGTTTCAATCTGAGAGATAAAAAAAAGTTCTGGAGATGGATGGTGGTGCTGGAAGTTGCACAAACAATGTGAATATACTTGTCACTGAATCACACACTTAAAATTGGTTACAATGGTATTTTGTATAATGTACACTTGACCACAATTCAAAGAGGGAGGAGGAGAAGGAGGAGGAAGAGCTGCCAGGCAGACAAGGAAAGTTGAAAGTTGGAGGAAGGCAGGTGGCTCCCTAGATAGGGTTGGTCCTTGGGCCCGGTTGCTAGAGTACTTGTCTCAAAGGGTTGCATGAGCCAAAATATGGCCTTTTTTGGCATAGGCCAGTTCACGTTGGGCTTCTTTTCCTTGCATCTGATGGAGTCCTAACACAGAAACTTTCCATTCTCTCTTCTCTCTCACATCCTTTCAGACATCCTCTACTCCTGTCATGCCCTGCTGCCCACGCTTCCTCAGACCAATCCTGTGTCTCCTCCCGTGCCTCTCCTCCAGGCTCCCTCTGCCCTTTCCCCTACTTACAAATGTCAACTCCTACTCATCGATGGAGACCAAGCTCAAAGGGCTCTTCCTTGGAAAGCCAGCCCTGACCACAAGTCTTGCCATGCCTTCCTCTGTACATACCTTCTTTTTTGTACATGTCTTTGTCACCCAGTATCCCAATGACCCGCATTCTTGTCTGTAACTTGTCATCAGGCGACAGTGTTCCTCTCCATGACCCTTGTGTCTGACAGCCTCACACTAAGTATCCTAAATGTTTACTGAACGGATGAATAGATGAGTAAGAACCCTTCTTTCTCTCATGCCATCTCCCTGAGTCACTACTCAGTTTCAACCAAGTGGGGACACAGGGGAAAAAAAAATGTGGGAGGAATTGCTTTAGTCCCTCAACTCAAGGGTGAAGGATCCAGGAGGGAAGAAAACCCAGTAGAAATGGGGCCATTTCAAAGTTCAATGGCATTTATGAGAGGTCAGCTCTCTGCCAAACACGGATGGTGGCAGCTTAGAGCTGAGGCAGTTTGTTTGGGTGCCAGTGCCAAGACAAGCATTCAGTGTATTGAGCTTTTTAGCAAGTGTGGATTCTGACAGCTGTGCAGGGAGAGTCACCTAAAAGCTATCTGGGTCTGCCTGGAATCAGGGGATCCCTATCTCCTTCGACACAATCTGACCCAAGGAACAAGGCAGCCCTCTCCCTGACCCTTCGTCCCCGCCACGGGCACACACCTTCTTGAAGGGGGCACTGCAGCTGATCAGGACATGTGGCATTAAGGATAGAGTAAAACATACCTACAGGGAACTGTGGCTTTGATAATATTGCTTTCTAACTAGTCCATGGATTCCCCCCTACAATTCCTAGCCTCTGTTGCTTGCAGCTCATATGACGAGTTCCAATTAATAGTCTGAACAAAAGTAATGAGTGCCATTTCCAGGAATATTTAATTGCCAGTGCACAACCCTCCAACAATCTTTCCCTTACTGAGACAATCCTGAAAGCCTTGTGTGGAAGTTGTGGAGGCAAGGATGGAAGAGCCTGGATCTCTAAGTTACCCAGTGGAGTAGAGGATATGTATCTTGGAAAGTGCCTTGAATCCATATCCAGTTTTGCTTGAGTGAGGAAAAAATAGACCATTGTTATGTTAAGCCATTGAGCTATTCAGGTTGTTTGTTACTTCAAAAAACCCTAGCCTATTCTGACCAATATACAGAAATTAATTGTTTTAACCATCAACTATCAAACCTCCCTATTTGAGGAGAAACATTATCCCTCCTATGGTTTTGCCAAATCCAGTGGTCACTTCTCTATTCTTTCCTGATTTCTCAGCAGCCTTTGTCACAATTGACCATTCCCCCTGGAAACATGTTCTCTTGCCACCTGTGACATCACACCTGCCTGGTGTTTCTTCTCTTGCAGCCCCTGCTTCTCAGTTTCCCTTGCTGTCTCCTCTTTCACTGTTTTACCTCAAAAGTTTGAAGTTTCTCAGGGCTTATTCCTGGGGAACTTTCTTGTGGTTTTACATGCCACCCATGAGAAAAACATCTGGTACCTTCCAGTATCCACTCTACCATTCTCTATTAATCACAGAGCCCCTATTTTTAGCTGGGTACTTTGTGTCTAATTAAAAGACTACATTTCTCAGTATAGCCATGGGACTATCTCTTGGCCAATGAGATGTAAGCAAAAATGCGTTGGACTTCCAAGGCCCTCTCTTAAAAAGAGAGGGTGCACTTTTCCCCCTTTCTCTTCCCTGCTTCCAAAGGTGGAACTTAATGAGGTGACCTGAAGATTGGAAACCAAGTGCTAAGTGTATCAGAGCAGCCCTGGACTTCCTACCTCCTTTTTTGGTGAAGAGAGAAATAAATCTCTGGGCGCCTGGGTGGCTCAGTCAGTTAAGCATCTGCCTTCGGCTGGGGTCGTGATCCCAGGGTCCCGGGATTGAGCTCCACATCCACTCCCCTTGCTTGTGCTCTTTCTTTCTTTTTGTCAAATGAAATCAAGAAAGAAAAAGAAAGAAAGAGAGAGGGAGAGAGAAAGAGGAAGGGAGGGAGGGAGGGAACAAGGGAGGGAGGGGAAAGAAGAAAAGAAAGAAATTTCTATTTTAAGTTTTTTTTTCTTTAGTTTTGTGCAACTGAACCCAACCCTAATGGACCATTCCTGTTGTTGCTATAGTCGCATGTTTGCCTCCCACCAGGAAGCCTGCCTACAGCACAAGGAAGACACTTCCAGGGGGAAAAAAGCGCTAGCCCTCTTTCCACAAATTGTAAATAACCTAGCCGACAGGAGGACAGAGTGGGAGATGGGCCTGGCAATACGGTTTATTAGTTCAGAGAAGGCACTGAATGCTAGATTAAGGAATTTGGGCTTTATTCTGTAAATCCCTTGCTGATAGAGGACCCTGTCTGTCTTATCTAGTAAAGCTTTCACTTTGTAGATGTTTAATGACTCTATTCTTTATTAACTAATGCTGTTAATTTAAACAAGAAGTGTTGGAAAGTGGACCAGTTGGGAATCACCATGTGATCTACCCTTGCCTATGTTTTACAGATGAAGTAACCTCAGCATCATTTACTATAAGGGGCAATCAGCCTGTCCACGAGGAAAAGCAAACCGAAATCTCCACCCTGGGGATGAAGACGGTCAGGGTGACGGAACTCCAAGAGGACGCCAACAAAAGCAGTTGGGAGGGTGCCTGCTCAAGATGGCTGCTCTGAAACCCCATGACCCGGAGGAGGTGGAGCTCCGCCCCAGCACGCCCGGCCCCACCCCCCTCGGCCCCGCCCAACACCGCCCCCTTCCGCGCGGCGGGGTGGGGGGCGGTGCGGGTTGTGAGGTGTCTCAGCGAAGCGCCTGCGCAGTGGGCAGCGGCGCGCGGGGCGGAGGCTTTATAACCACTTCGACGCTGCCGCTCGGTTTCTATCTCGGGGAGAGCGGCAGAGGCGGCGGCGGTCGCGGCGCGGGTTGAGGGGGCGCTGAGGCGGGAGCTGTGGCGGCGCTGGGCGCCCCTCGCTCCTCGGCCTTTGGGGGCCATGGGCTCTGAGAAGGACTCCGAATCGCCGCGCTCTACATCTCTACACGCGGCCGCGCCCGACCCCAAGTGCCGCAGCGGCGGCCGGCGCCGGCGCCTCACCTTCCACAGTGTCTTCTCCGCCTCGGCCCGCGGCCGCCGCGCCCGGGCCAAGCCGCAGGCCGAGCCGCCGCCCCGGCCGCGCCGCCGCCGCCGCCGCCGCCGCCCGCCCCGGTCCCGGTCGCGGCCCAGGCCCCGCCGCCCGAGGCGCTGCCCACCGAGCCGGCCGCCGAGGCGGAGGCGGAGGCCGCGGCGGAGGCTGGGCCCGGGTTCGAGGATGAGGAGGCGGCGGAGGGCGGCGGCCCGGGCCCGGAGGAGGTGGAGTGCCCGCTCTGCCTGGTGCGGCTGCCGCCCGAGCGGGCCCCGCGCCTCCTCAGCTGTCCTCACCGCTCGTGCCGGGACTGCCTCCGCCACTACCTGCGCCTGGAGATCAGCGAGAGCCGGGTGCCCATCAGCTGCCCCGAGTGCAGCGAGCGACTCAACCCGCACGACATCCGCCTGCTGCTCGCCGACCCGCCGCTCATGCACAAGTACGAGGAGTTCATGCTGCGCCGCTACCTGGCCTCAGACCCTGACTGCCGCTGGTGCCCGGCCCCCGACTGCGGGTGAGCGCGGGGGCGTGGCCGCCGGGGCAGGGGCTGCGGCGGAGGGGACCCGGGTCGGGGGACCGGACCCCCATCCCGCGGGTGGCCGACCGGGAGAAGCGGTCCTCGGGGCAGCGTGTGCGTGTGTGTGTCCCAGCACTGAGGGAGAGGTGAGGGCTGAGCTGCGGGAGGGAGGAGAAGGCGGCAGCTGCGGCGGGTTGGTAAGCGGTCACAGTCCGCAAGCCCAGAAGAGCGGGGGAAGGCACCCGCCACCCGCCCTGCCCCCGTGCTTGAGGTGGGGGCTGAGCCTTCGGTGAGGGGAAAGGAGCTGTCCATCTAGTCAGGAGGCCGGGGGAGGCTTTTAGGTGGGGTGCACGCCCCTCTGTCCAGAGGTAGGGGCCATGTCTTAATGAGGGCGGGGAGGGGATTAGCTGGCAAAGGAAGAGATGAGAATATTCTGAGGGGCTCACAGCATTCGGAGGGGTGTGTCCCTTTGGCCAGGGGCAGACTTGAGCAGCAGTGCCGGAGAAGGTGTGTTCCTCCTGACCACAGATGCTGAAAGTTGGGATGGAGATGATGGAAATATCACTAGGGGGAAAGGACAGCTCACTGGCAGCTCTGGGGCACCCTGGCCATTGTGTGCCTTCTGTGCCACGCTGTTGGGAGGCCCCATGTGGTTCTCACACTGCTGCCTTGGGCAGGGTGAGGAGTGGACGGACCCTTTCTTTGTCCAGAGAAGCAATGGGGCACTGAGAAGAAGGATGCCCAGACGCTGACACGGTAGGAGAAAATGTGTTACCCAGCCCCTCTGATCTTGAGTTCTTGACAGCAGTCTTTTTAAGGCACTATGTATCCTGAATTTTTAAGGTCAGTGAGAGAATATGCATTATGTGCAGAGACAGAATACCACCAGATTTTACTATCTAAAGTACTCAGTGGAGACCACTCTCCCACCACTTAAAAAAACATTGTTACTGTCAGTACATCCCATGAATGGCTGCATTCCGCAGGAAGAGCTTATCTGAGTGACTGGAAGTTCGGGGGTGGGAGGGAGAGACTGGGCCACTTACCAGTTCTATGACCTTGGGCAGATCATTTTATTCTTGTGTGTTATGTTTTGGGGACAGAAAGATGCTAGGGACTCCTTGCAGTGTGTGAATGTAATGCCAGTAAAAAAGCTGCATGGGCCTATGCTTCAAAGGAGTTAAGGGCTTTTAATTGTAGCCTATATACCAAGCCTGTTTTAAGATTTCCATGATGCGACTATTTGTCCCTTTCAAAAGAAGCTGTTTTAAGAGTGTCTAGGAGAGTAAGAAGAGTTAACTTCTGTCTTCTATTCTGCCAGACTTGTTTAGAGATGGGTGTGTTTTTTAACCTCCCTGAGATGGGGTTTCTAAATTACTTTGAAGTGTTGTGGTCAAAGGTATGGTGTTTGTCTAGGGTAGATCACTTTCACTTTCAATTAATAAGTGTTGGAAACAACCTTGTAGGTTCTTACATCTGGTGGCCTGGTGATCTCACTGGCCTTAGGAGGCTAATGTATATGATAGGTTTTACAGATACTATTGGTCTATTTTCTGAACCAAAGGAATATTTACTTAAAACACGGCATGATTAATTTTGGAATAGTATATTAACTCCTTTTTGAGATGTCTTTCCTTGAATTTTGGCTGAGAAATGTGGCATTGCTGATTATCTTTCTGGAAAAGCTCCCTTTTTGTTTTTATTTCTCTAAAGTCAATGACTATCTTTGCTCACAACAATAAAAATGGACAGGAATTAATTTATCATCTTTGTGGTGACATCGTAAACCATTACTAAAAGTTAATGAAGAATTAAGGCCATTTCTTATTGTAGCCAAGTATTGGCTTAGTATCATCTAGAGGTTTTTTTTTATTAGTTAAAAGCATTATACAAATTTTATATATTTTTTAATGTGTTATCTGTGGGTTTAAAGAAGGTGCAGTCTGTGGAAAGAAAGCAAGCTGGCATCCAAGTATCCATGTACCAGGCGTACATAATTTAACTTAATCCTTACAACATTGTAAGATAGATTTGATTTCGTTTTACAGATGAGAAAATTGAAATTTAAAAACAGTGAGTGACTGTTAAGGGTCATATAGCTAGTGGGTGGTGGAACCAGGCTTGAAACACTGGTCTTAACTCCAACGAAGGCCAATAGTCTTTACTCTCGGCCTTTTCTTTCTTTCTTTTTTTTTTTTTAAAGATTTTATTTTTTATTTGATGCAGAGAGAGAGAGAGATCACGACTAGGCAGAGCAGCAGTCAGCCTTTTCTTTTTAAAAAGCATGCACTTGTTGGCATTATTGGGGATACTGCTATTTGTATCATTTTGTCAAATGTGGCCTAAGGACACATTTAAGAGAGCCACGGATCGGAAATCTAGTTTCTTTTCTGATACTTTTTGTATCACAGCTTCTTATCTACTTTATTTTTCTTATCTGAAATAGGCCTAATCCTTTCCTGACTTGAGAAGCTTAATGTTTGCAAAGTGTTTTGAGGTCTGCATTTGGAGGTGTTAGGTAAATCGGGAGTAACTTTAAAATTCTGTCACTTTCCAAACAGGTATCTGAGTTCCCTAGGGATGTGGCCAATGGTTTTGCCACCTCTCTTTAATGCTGGGAGAAAAACAGCTTGTTTTGTTTTGTTTTAGTCAAACTGTCCTATTCTCCTGTGTCTGGTAAAAATCATGGATGAGCAGTAAGTGTAATCCCTAGTTGTCTCTTCTTCTTGTACCTGACCATCTTTTCTTTACTCGCAGATGAAGTTCTTAACAGCCAAATTTATCAAGAACTCCCTTCTCTCTGTGTGTATGTGTATATATTTGGCAGGGTGGGGCTCGCTGCTCAGTGGGGAGTCGTCTTCTCCCTCTGCCCCTACCTGTGCTCATGCTCCCTCTCCCTCTCTCTTTCAAATAAATAAAATATTAAAAAAAAGAAGAAGAAGAAGGGGGCACCTGGGTGGCTCATTGGGTTAAAGCCTCTGCCTTCGGCTTAGGTCATGATCCCAGGGTCCTGGGGTCTAGCCCGGCATCGGCATCAGGCTCTCTGCTCAGCGGGGAGCCTGCTTCTCCCCTCCCCTCTCTCTGCCTGCCTCCCTGCCTACTTGTGATCTGTCTGTCAAATAAATAAATAAATAAATAAAATCTTTAAAAAATAAAAAAAGAAGAAGAATTGTATTTGGCAGGGTGAAGGGGGCATGTAAGTGGTCTTACAGAGTTCTGGCCATTAGTTTCACTGTGATTATGATAATGAGAATACTATATATTAAAAGATTATTTGTTTACAAGATATTTATAAGCAGGGTCTTGAATTTTTTTCCCATACTTGAATATGATCTTATTTTATTCATAAATAAGAGAACCAATTTCAGTGGGGCAACATTTACATTACTGTTTAATATTAAGTACAATATTACCAAGTATATATATGTGTATATATTTTTTAAGATTTTATTTATTCATTTAACAGAGAGAGACACAGAGAGAGAGAGAACACAAGCAGGGGGAATGGGAGAGGGAGAAGTAGGCTTCCTGTTGAGTAGGGAACGGGATGGCAGGGCTCAATCTCAGAACCCTGGGATACTGACCTGAGCCAAAGGCAGCCACTTAATGATGAGCCACCCTGGCGCCCCTTACCAAATATATTTAAAATGTACTTTCAAATGAGATAAAATTAACTCAAAATACAAATAACTGATATTTTTGTAGTTCTTTGTAATCTTCAGACTGTAAGGTCATTCAGGAATAATTTTAGTTTCATACAGGTGGATGTTGGTGGTAAACCTATTTTATAAAAGAGAAACCAGTTCAGAGAAGTTACCGTGTGGGCTTCAATGTCTCACAGCTAATAAATGGTGCAGTTGATACCCCTTAGAGTCTCTGCTTAAGCATGAGTCTTCTCAGAAACCCCCACAACAGGTAAATATATAATGTTTTCCTCTTAAGTATCATCTTACCAATCTTTAAATACTTTCAGAATCTCTATGAGGGATGAGCAAAGGAGGCAACAGAAAATTTCTTGGTGTGCAGGGACAGATCTTTTGTGCGGATGAATAGGCGATAAAGCTGTCTTGACCTCAATTCTTTGTGTAAGTCCACCACTCCAGCCTCTCTTTGCTGGCACTTTCTCTTACAGTCCCCCCTCCTACCTGACCCAAACAGGTAGTATCAGCTTTTGGCCTTCCTGGAAAACTGGACTGGACCATCCCGTGAACAGGAAGCTTCAGTTCATCTCTAGCACGTTTATGAGGGAACAGCTCCTGAGCAAGATAAATTTCTCAGTCAGTGAAAAAGGAGGTTATTTTCCCCTCTAAAGCCTTCCTACATCCTCTCTCTCTCTCTCTCTCTTTCTTTCTCTCTGGTATGACATTTTAAAAATTGAGATATATGTGATCTAGACATCTCTTAATTTAGCTCTGTACCTTCTATTTCACAACTCTTCACTCTATCCCCATCCCTGCACCTGCCCATCTGCATTCCAGCTCCATATAATTTCCCATATTTGCCAGTGTATCATTCTAAAGTGGAACATTTTATATCACTCCCCTGCTTCAAACTGTTCATACCTGCCTATAAAATGACTTCTTATGTCTTTAAGAACTGATTATTTATATGATCTACCCTTATAAAGATTTTTTTTTTTTATTTGACAGATCACGAGTAGGCAGAGAGGCAGGCAGAGAGAGAGAGGAGGAGGCAGGCTCCCCGCTGAGCAGAGAGCCCGATGCGGGACTCGATCCCAGGACCCTGAGATCATGACCTGAGCTGAAGGCAGAGGCTTTTAACCACTGAGCCACCCAGGCGCCCATGATCTACCCTTATAATTTAAACCCCTTTACAGTCTCCTACTATCTCCTACCATCTTTTTTTGTCTGATTTTTTTTTTCCCACTTACATCGATATTTTTCCAGTGTATATTTTGGTAATCCTGGAAAGGAAAACATTTTGTGATCAAATAAACTTGGGAAGTATTGGATTGAACAAAATTTATTTCTGAGCTTTTTAGATGCTTTAAACATGCTAATATACACTATAGTAAATTTTGCTAATGCTAATATACAGTGTAAATCTTCAAATCTTCCAAACTTAAATCAACAGGAAACACGTTTTTGTTTTTTCTGTGGCACCTTACACTGACACTTTCCCTGACTATTTACAGTTTTCTAAACTCCTTTAACAGTCAGTCTGTACAGTTACACTGGCTTCTGTTAGTGTCCTTATTTAACAGTGAATCTTGTGCTCTGAATAGGTTGAGAGTTCCTTTAGCCTAGGTTATCCATATTCCAACTTTTTCTACAATCCTTTCTTTTTAAGATTATTTATTTATTTATTCATTTGACAGAGAGAGAGCCGCAGGCAGAACAGGCAGAGCAAGAAGCAGGCTCCCTGCTGAGTGAGGAGCCCCATGTGGGACTCCATCCCAGGACCCTAGGATCATGACCCAAGCTGAAGGCGGATGCTTAACCAACTGAGTCACCCAGCCGTCCCTTTTTCTACAATTCTGTGAACAAAATTTTTCAATTAAATCCCAGAAGAATGGGATAGTTGAATTTTGATGAAGTAGATAAAGAAAATGAACAGCACACTTTTTGAAAGAGAAACAGATAATGAGGGTGGAGGGCAAGAAGAGGACAGACAGGGGCGCCTGGGTGGCTCAGTGGGTTAAAGCCTCTGCCTTTGGCTCGGGTCATGGTCCCGGGGTCCTGGGATCGAGCCCCACATCGGGCTCTCTGCTCAGCGGGGAGCCTGCTTCCTCCTCTCTCCCTGCCTGTCTCTCTGCCTACTTGTGATCTCTATCTGTCAAATGAATAAATAAAAAAATCTTTAAAAAAAAAAAAAAAAGAAGAGGACAGACAGATGATCATTCAGTAGACACTTTTGAGAATTAAGTAGTGTTGAACCTTAAGTGAATATTGGGAATTACCAAAAGGACTTAGACATGGTCCTCTTGACAGGGGGTTTGGCCTGTTAGAAGAGATTAAATAGATAGATATAGATAACAGGTTATAAATGCAATATAATACATATTAAAGAAAACACAAATGCTCTTAGAGGGTAGTTAAAAGATTTTACATGATGGTGTCAAGAAAGATTTCACAGAGGAGGTAATATTTGATCTGGGCATTAAGAATGTGAGTAGGAATTCATACCAGGCAAACAATGATTCAAGTAGAGAAAAAAAGCATCTTAATTCAGAGTGTTTTGAGCAAGTGCAGTTGCAGTTGTACTTGCAGTTGCATAGAGGTATAAAAATATAGTAGTAAGTCTAGAATCTAGTTTGGATCCATCTTTAGATACACAATATGGAGAGCATGATCTGGAAAGTAACTAGAGATCAATCTGAAAACGTAGACTAGACTCCAGTTGATAGACTTATCTAAGCCATGCAAAGAAGTTTCGGTTTGAAGGACTTTTTTTTTCTTTTTTGTTGAAGGATTTTAAGTAAAAGAGTTACATAATGATAGATAACCTTCTGAAGTTGGAACTTGGAGTGGGGAATAAGGAGACCAGATATTAGTCTCTTGCAATTGTCGTATTTCTACTACCCTTACACATGCTCGGGGTCCATTTGTAAATGAAGTTATGTGGCCGAGAGCTAGAAAGTTCAAACATTGTTTAGGAACACATTTGTAACTACTAGGGTCCGTGAAAGCATAATCAAATTCATAATGGATTTTTTTTTCCTCTAGGGCTGAAGTTAGTTAATGCTGTGGTCTAGCCTGTCACATATTATGATATTTCTGAATACTTAGGAAATTAACAAAATTAATAAATTTATATAAACTTAAGGGGAAGGAAAATGATACATCGGGGTTTTTTTTTTTTTTAGCAGCATGTAATTTCCACCTCCTTCTATTTAGCTGCTGCTTCTTTCTCCCCGCTTATTTAGCTTCTAATTAGCAAACCTGAATGCTTGGTTAAGCTAAGAGCAGGGTAGGAGAGAGGCTCCAGGGTAGGTCAGGGAAAAGAAGGAATAAGATTATCAAGGCAGTTTTGGTCTCAAGGATGAATTTTTTTCAACTACCTGGGGAAGAGTACCCCATTCAGAATTTAGGAGTTTGCTCCTAAAATTTTAGACAAAATTTGAGGTCTAAGTTATAGTCCCTGGCACATAGTAAACCAGTAGATACATTAGTAAGATTTAAAGATTGCTTTAGGGTAGGCCCAGGAGAAGAGTTAGAATGGCCTGGGGAAAATAAAAAAGCTAATAGAGAAAGAGAGTCTCTATCATTCATTTGAACATGAATCAGTATGCTAGACCCTGAAGATTAAAACATGGGTGATACTTTTCCTTGAGTCTAGTCTGGTTGGGGAAGCACACATATAGACAGATAATTATAGTATAATGTGATAATATAAAGTAATTGTACATAAGGCATAAAGTAGGCAACCAGCTACCTGGAGAGGTTAAGTAGGTTTTATAGGAAAGATGACATTTGAGCTGGTTCTTAAATGGGTAAGTATTTGCCAGGGCAAGAAGAAAGGAAGGAGCATTCTAGGTAGAAGGAGTAGATTATGCAAAGGCCAAAAGTAGGATTAAAATGTGCTATATTTTTATACCATACCTTTCAGGGCAAGATCTCAAATGCAGTTTAGAATATGGTTACACTTGAAGGTGGCAGACACCTATGCCTCCATTTTTGGGATAGAGGTTAAGGCTTGGCGATTTAAATTAGCTCAGTGTCATGCAGTATGAGTCAGGGGCAAGGAGCCCAGACCAGGTGCCCAAAAACAGGAATGCCAAGTCTCAGTGCCCTGAGTAATTCTGTGTCATGGTAATAGATCGTTGCATGTTCATGAGTATTTGGGATTATTTTACTTGCTTGGAATCAAATTCCACACCCAAAAGTGACATTATCAATCTTGTCAAGTGTTCTTAAAAAAAAAAAAACTGTTAATAAATATTTACTCCCACCAGGTGAGGTAGGAATAGATCAGGAAATGTTCAAGGCTTCCTGTCTATGTAATTTGTATCATCAGCAGTTGACTTGAGTAAGGTACTGAGATCATCCAGTACCTTTACCATTTAACACAAAATAGCAAGCAGGTCACTTTCTTTAGGAGAAACATTGTCTATCTGTAGTAGCTATTTTGCAGCTAGGTTGGGTAAATTTGCTCAGAACTCCTATAGGATATGAATCATTTGCATTCGTACATTGACCTATTCTCACTTTGCTCTTTCTGAGGAAGAGTTTTAGTACAGACTGTATTATATAACATAAATGATATGTCATCGATATTTTCAGTGTCATTCTCAAATCAATCTGCAGAATCTATAATAAACCTGAGAAATCGTGTTGCTGTTATGAATACCTAATATACATGCAAATAAACAGTAGAATAAATCCAAGAAAATGTTGTTAGCCTTTTTTTATAAGTTGCTTGAGGTCTTTAGCTATTGGAGGAGAAAGTGGAATAGGGGACAAAAAAAGCCCAATGGCAACACCTAAGCCTACAATCATTGACCTGTTTAAAAATTATTTGAACTTGGGACACCTGGGTGGCTCAGTCAGTTGGGCCGCTGCCTTCGGCTAGGGTTATGATCCCAGAATCCTGGGATCGGGTCCTGCCTCGGGCTCCTTGCTTGGCGGGTAGCCTGCTTCTCTCTCTGCCTCTGCCTGCCACTCTGCCTGCTTGTGCTCTCTCTCTCTCCCTGACAAATAAATAAATAAATAAAATATATATATTTTTTTAATTTAAAAAATTTGTTTGAACTTTCACAGCTGCTATTTTCCCTTATTTGTTTCTTTAAATTACTTTTTAATTTTTTTTTTTAATCTTCAGTGTTCACTTGTTAGGATAATCTGAACACTTAGTTGACATATTTAGAACTAGTCAGAAGGGCTAGTTGTTGTAAATATATTGGATTTTTTGTGAGAGAGTAATTCTTGGAAAATAAGTGTGAATTATAAGAAACAGTTGATGTTGGTGCAGATAGATTCTGAGTTGCAAATCTTTACTAAGAATATGTGTCAGGAGAGAAAAGAAAGGGGAGGGAGATAATAGCCTTATCATGTATTAATTACTAAGGTGGGTGAGTGGTATTCTTGGATTCTGGAGCCTGTCAAGGAAGTAAATATTTCAAGGTATAGATTTGAGCTAAAAAAGGGGGAAAAAAATTGAAAGATAAAATGAGCTTTCAGTGGGAGAATTGATCATGAATCCATCTATGGCTATTGTCTCAAGCTGTGTGTGCTCAGACCAGCTTCACTGTGGAACTTAAAAATGAAAAAGTATAATTTAGTTTCGCATACTTTTGTTTTACAAATCTTCTGTCCTTTAGTGTAACCAAATTCTAATCTCTCTAAATGTAGCAAACCATCAAAAAGCTATAGTTTTGTACCCTGCTACTTGTGAAATTTGCTGTGGTAAACTCCTTTTAAAGTAGCTTAAACTGTGACTGAATACATGCTAGATTCCAGCTAAATCTAGTATTTTCCCCTATTTTTCAGAAGGTAAATGATTTGTTTTTAGAATCTCAAGGAGAAATTTACTTTCTCACACAGAATGTTTTACAGTTTGCTAGGCATGATTGTGTGTGGTTATGTTATGTGTTATATGTGTACTCTTTTCTCTCTATCATGTGTAGTGGTAAGGAGTGATGAATTATGTCTGTCTTGTTCCGATCATTCTTACCTTCCTGATATCTCTTCCTTTTTCCTTACCCAGTTATGCTGTTATTGCCTATGGCTGTGCCAGTTGCCCAAAGCTGACCTGTGAGAGGGAAGGCTGCCAGACAGAGTTCTGCTACCACTGCAAGCAAATATGGCATCCAAATCAGACATGCGATATGGCCCGTCAGCAGAGGGCACAGACTTTGCGAGTACGGACCAAGCACACTTCAGGTCTCAGTTACGGGCAAGAATCTGGACCAGGTATTAGTTGGCATTGTCTCATTTTTCTCTTTATTTGATATTTCATAATGTGAGCCTAAAGCTGGGAGAGATTATTTTACTCAAGTATTTCCTGGGATCAGAGAGCAAAAATACTTGGTAATACATTCAATATTATATTTGATACGTAGCTTCTCTCTGACAACTGTAGGTTTTCCAACCTATAAATTGATAAAATTGGAATGCAGCAAAATTGAATTCTGTAGTTTCTACCTTTTTAATAATATGTCTCCTGTTGGAGAGTAATTAGGTCCTTTTGCGAAGGATTTTTTCAAAACTTTCATTGTGAGCAGAAAGACAATTAGTATTAAACCTCCACTGTTATCCTCCTAGTTTTAAGTGCATCACTGCTTTTGGAAGTAGGGTACAGATTTAAGGAAAGGAAATAATATTAGTATGGATTAATGATTAACCTTAAAAGGAGGAACCTTGGCAAGTCAGAGTAAACCCATTTAAAAATGTCAGTGGGTTTATTGCCTTTTATAAATGTATTTTATTTTACTGATGTCATTTGGGAGAGGCTGGTAGGAAAGATTTTACCATTCACTTTTTCCTGGCACAGCATAATCTCCTAAATTGTCATTTTAATAGGATAGTTTCTAGCTTGCTGTGAAAATTACTAGGTGTGTGCTACATAGCATACCCAATTATTTTTAGGTTTTGAATTTGAAAGTATCATGGGAGGGGTCTGTGGGTTCTGTTAACAGCACATCACAATGTTACTTGCTGAGCCTAAGAAATTAATTTCCTGAGCCAAACTTTTTCAAAACTTAAAGCCAATTCCAAGCTGCAGACTGCTCTTCCTGCAGAACTCTGCTTTGAGTTCTGCTAGCCTATTGGCTAGTGGAATTCCATTTTTCTTAGAACCGTCTTTGTCTCTTTGTCTTCTTGTTCAGAATGTGGCTTAAGTGTATAAGGTGCCAGTTTTGGGGATAGGCAGCTCAGTATAAGACAAGGATCCGTTTTATGAAAATTCCTGAGGTATAGACATAGCCAGCCTTTTAGTGAAGTGGGTTGCACAATTTGGAATTCTCAGCCAAGAGCTCTTCACTGTCTCCTCATTTTTTGTATATATATATTCCTAGGAATAATAAATCAAATTAGGTTTAACTGGGGGTATTTTTCTGCCCAATCTTCCTTCCCCCCTTAGCAGATGACATCAAGCCATGCCCACGATGCAGTGCTTACATTATCAAGATGAATGATGGAAGCTGTAATCATATGACCTGTGCAGTGTGTGGCTGTGAATTCTGTTGGCTTTGTATGAAAGAGATCTCAGACTTGCATTACCTCAGGTGAGATGGGAAATGTGTCCATTGCTTTATCGTCTTGTTCTTTTAATGATTTGGGGAAAAGGATGTCAAAGGGACACAGTTGTCTGTCCTCTCATTACAGTATAAGGAAGCTGTAAAAAGTTCTTTCGAAGCACTCCTGTGACCACGTTTTTCTTCAGTTCCAGCAACTTCCAGGGACTATTTTTATTACCTTCCAGATAGAGTTCAGTTTCCCGAGTATGGCTTTGCCACAGTCTGGCCCTAATGTCCTTTTCTAGCTTTTTCCATGTGTTTTTATACATGCTATATTCCAGTAACCTGGGCTTGCTATTCGCTCTGTCTCCTCTGGCTGTCTTTCTTGTTCATGTTCTTCCGTTTGCCCAGAATGCTTTCTGATCACATCACCCTCCCAGCAACCCCCTTTTATCTCAACCTGTTCAGTTCTTATTTACCCTTCAGGGGCCACTCAAATGCCATTTCATCTATGATGTCTTCCCCAGCTTTTTATGCCTCATTCTTCTGTATTGGCATTCCTTAAATGTTTCATTATAAACATCACTACTTTTACTTCATATACATGTCTAATTTTGCTAAACTGCGTAAGTTTATTAAGGTCAGAGTTACCTTTTACAGTTCCTTGCATGTAATGACTTTACAAAGAATTCAGAGTAAATATTTAAATATTGTCCTGAAGGAGTTAATATTTACAAACAACATTCATTGTGTGGATGAAACATTTTCATTTCCAATATAGCAAACAGTAGTTACTTACACTATACTGATTATCGGGGACACGGGTGTGTAAGACACGATCCTTTCTTTCAAAATTGCTTATCCTATCTAGTAGAGAAGACAGGACAAAGGGAGTGAGCAAAAATGCTTGAACACAGAAGGACGGAGTATAAAAGTAGCCAAACTCAAAGAGAATGAAACTGAAGTAAAGGGTGTGACAAAGTGTTTTTATATCCTTCCCCAGGAACATGGTTTACACTATCTATTGGATATGGATAGGACACAAGCCCAGAAAACTATTCAGATCTGTTCATTAGCTGCAGCACGTAGCACTTTTGAATGAGATGTCAAGTGTGTAGGTTGTGCAGGATCCCAAGTAGTATATATATCAGTCAAGGAAGCTGGATCAGGGATGCCTGGGTGGCTCCAGTCTTTAAGCTTCTGCCTTCAGCTCAGGTCATGATCTCAGGGTCTTGGGATGGAGCCCCGTATTGGGTTCCCTGCTCAGCAGGAAGCCTGCTTCTTCCTCTCCCACTCTCCCAGCCTGTGTTCCCTCTCTCGCTGTGTCTCTGTCAAATTAATAAAAATTTTTTTTAAATTATAATTTCATAGGCTGCACCTCATGACAGCTACTATTTTTTTTTTATTTAAAGATTTTTTAAATTATTTGACAGAGAGGGATCACAAGTAGGCAGAGAGGCAGGCAGAGAGAGAGAGGGAGGGGGAAGCAGGCTCCCCACTGAGCAGAGAGCCCGATGCGGGACTCGATCCCAGGACCCTGAAATCATGACCTGAGCTGAAGGTTGAGGCTTAACCCACTGAGCCACCCCGGCGCCATTCAAATAAAATCTTTTAAAAAGCTGTATCACAGGGGCGCCTAGGTGGCTCAGTGGGTTAAGCCACTGCCTTCGGCTCCGGTCATGATCTCGAGGTCCTGGGATTGAGTCCCACATCGGGCTCTCAGCTTGGCAGGGAGCCTGCTTCCCTCTCCCTCTCTCTCTGCCTGCCTCTCTAACTACTTGTGATCTCTGTCAAATAAATAAATAAAACCTTTTAAAAAAATAAAAAAATAAAAAATAAAGAAAAGGCTGCATCACTGTTGGGTTAGGGAGGACAGAGTTCAGTAGCAGAGAAAGGAAAAGAGGTTTTAAGCCTGGAAGCCTAGCTTTACAAACAAAAAGTGAAAGGCCCAGAGCTCTGATAATCAGACCTTGTCTTTTTCTTCTTTTCATGTAATATATTCATTTTCTATAACCTCTTGTAACTGTTAATCATTCTTATTGGAAAAGAAGGCTTTTGCTCTTATCAAGCCCTCTGGTGACAATAGCTGCATTTATAGTATCAATACTAACTTGAGCATGTGTCCTCTGCAGCCCCTCTGGATGCACATTCTGGGGCAAGAAGCCATGGAGCCGTAAGAAGAAAATTCTTTGGCAGCTGGGAACACTGATTGGTGCTCCAGTGGGGATTTCCCTCATTGCTGGCATTGCCATTCCTGCCATGGTCATCGGCATTCCTGTTTATGTTGGCAGGAAGGTAAGACATGCTGAATTCTGTGGGTGTTCTATCCCCAGGTTTGTTGGTAAAGTTTTGAAGGAAATAGGGAGGAGTTTATATTTCAGAGCTTCCTGAAAACAGGCCTGTTCTTAGATAAAAATAACCTTAATTTTGTAAATGGATTTTCATAAACCCAAGAGATCTAAAAGTTCTTATTAGCTTCCTGGGCCTGGTTTGTCTCAGTGACTTAAAGGTGAAATACTTTCCTCACAATCCTGAGTTACTTTGTCTCTCCTTGGATTAACTTTTTCTGTATTAGTTTATGTCACCCTGGTCTGTGTTAGGTTAATTTGAGAAAGAAAGCCTCTTGGTGGGTAGGGGATATATTTTAATATAGTTAGAATATTCACTTGTCTTTTTCTAACCTGGCAAAAAAATTGATATCCTAACCTGCTGACCTGGATTTTCTTTCTTATTCTTAGATTCACAGCAGGTATGAGGGAAGGAAAACCTCCAAACATAAGAGGAATTTGGCTATCACAGGAGGAGTGACTTTGTCCGTCATTGCATCCCCAGTTATTGCTGCAGTTAGTGTGGGTAAGCTAGCCCGGACTGCGACTCTTCTCCTTTCTGCCCTCTCTCCCACCACACCCCCTACCTACCTAGCTTTCTGACTATAGCAGTTTAGCCGGATGGCCAGATATTTCATGTTGGAGGCTCCTACATTTTATGCCAAACCCACCTTGAGGGCTAACTCTTTTAGGCACTATTATTAGGATTATCAGCCACACTAAATTGTCAGAGTTTGGGGTCTTTCAGCCCTAAATTAGTGCTTAGAACTCTCTGGCTCGGGGCGCCTGGGTGGCTCAGTGGGTTAAAGCCTCTGCCTTCGGCTCAGGTCATGATCTCTGGGTCCTGGGATCGAGCCCCGCATCAGGCTCTCTGCTCAGCAGGGAGCCTGCTTCCTCCTCTCTCTGCCTGCCTCTCTGCCTACTTGTGATCTGTGTCTGTCAAATAAATAAATAAAATCTTAAAAAAAAAAAAAAAAAGAACTCTCTGGCTCAGAGAAAATGCTAAATTAAAGAATATTACTTTAAGGCCTAGTTTTCACCTTTTATCTTCCTTCCCTATTTGCTAGGGAACCCACAAAATAAAATTACTTTTATTTTTATTTGTTTAATGCCTCACAGTATTTCGGAAGGTATGAGGGTTTGTTTTAGAATAAGAATATTATAACTAACATTTATTAAGGCTCTCCATTGTACCAGGAGTAGTTGTGAATGTTTTGCATGTATTAATTCATTTAATCCTCATAGCAGTACGGTTGTAATAGAAAGGTGCTATAATTTGCTCAAGGTCACTTAGCTGGAACATGAATCAATGCAATCTGACTTCAGAGCCTGTGCTCTTAACAGCTAAGTCATTCTGCCTCCACAGCAGTAAGATTTTGGAATTAACATTCTGGGGGGATCCTAAACCCCAGGAATCACTTACTTAATGTTTGAGTATTGATTGGTTCTTGGATTAGCATGTCAGTAGTGAGTAGAGGAGGGAAAACGAAAGCAGCGTAGACTCACTGTGCCGGGCACTGTACATACCTTCTCTTTTGATCATTGACAATCCTGGAAGATACATGAGATTATACAGCTAGTAAATTGGAGTCAGGATTCTAATCCAGGCCTTTTCTAATTCCCAAGTCCAGTCATCATTCTGTTAGACCCAGCTGCGTCTTTAGGATAGCCATCTTCTGTCTTTCTTTGGCCCTTTATAAAGTGGTTTGTCTGTGCTCAGGCTGGGAAGGAGAATTTAGGGCAGTGACCTGCTGACTTTTTTCCTTCTCCTCCCCCAGGTATTGGCGTTCCCATTATGCTGGCTTATGTCTATGGGGTTGTGCCCATTTCCCTCTGTCGTGGAGGTGGCTGTGGAGTTAGCACAGCAAATGGAAAGGGGGTGAAAATTGAGTTTGATGAAGATGATGGTCCAATCACAGGTAAAGGGAGGTTTTTAATTTCCCTTTGAATTTATGGGGCAGAAAATTCAGTAGATTTCAGCACATTTTACAGCAAGATTGTCATTGGATTACTTTGGATAATGAGCTTTGTAGGGGGTAAAGTATTTTTAGCTTTTCATTTCTTTGTTCCAGAGTTATTAGGTTAATTCCTCTGGTACTTGGCTCTGTGTGGCAGGTACAAACTAGTAGGATTCCAAGTAACTCCAAGTATGCTGGTAATAGTAGGGATTATAATAAAGTCTTATATCTGTACAGTACTTTATAATTTTCAGAGGACTTTACACAGTTATTATCTCACCTGGTTTTTACAATAGCTCTCTGAATAGGGAGGGCAGGGGCTATTATTATCCCCATTTAATGGGAACTTCTTTAAGCTTTTGTCTCAACATCTGTTAAATGGGTTTAAGAGCTTCTGCAGAGCTAAAACTGGAGCAAGTCTTCCAGCTTCTTTTTCTGTTCCCGTGACTTCCACTTTGATATTTGCACTTTATCATATTAACTAAGCTAGGGCACAGAGAGTCCCACAGGTTTTTGAAGCACCCTACTAGAATCAACACCTAATATGACCTAAACATGTTTTGAAATCTTCATGCTTGATTAGATGACATCTACGGTAAAATGGACAGAATAGTGGACTTAGAATAAAAAATGTAGATTCGTGGGACCAGGCATGACTTGGACATGTCATTTAGTTCTAAGCTTTTGTTTTCTCCTCTAAAATTAGGACTGTTACTGTGTAGTTATTGGGAAGATTAAATATTAACAATATGTTAAAACACCTGATATGTGGTAGCTGCATATAGTAGCTGTTCATTAAGAGAGTAAATGAGTATTTTTCTGCATGAATATTCTCCACTCTGAAAAATCATTACAGGAAAATAATAGACTCTATTTTGATGTTGTCTTATCTTGAATTGAAATGTTTGGTTCCATCCCCAGTGGCTGATGCCTGGCGAGCCCTCAAGAATCCCAGCATTGGGGAAAGCAGCATTGAAGGCCTGACTAGTGTACTGAGCACCAGCGGAAGCCCTACAGATGGACTTAGTGTTATGCAGGGTCCATACAGCGAGACAGCCAGCTTTGCAGCCCTCTCAGGGGGCACTCTGAGTGGTGGCATTCTTTCCAGTGGCAAGGGAAAATATAGCAGGTAAGCAAATAGATAATTTCTGACAGAACCAGTTGGAATGATGAGAAATAACATACCTGTATTGAGCTGTGCTAGGCACATCTCATATATCATCTCATTTTGATGTAGTCATAAGTGGTTTGGTTTTTTGTTGTTGTTGTGTTTTTTGTTTTTAATTTTATAATGAGAAAATAGGCTCAAAACCTATACAACATTCAGTGTTCTTTCCACACTGCACCATAGTGGCTCCATATAAAGAGCAATCCTGACTTAAGATCTTCCCTCTACTACATTAGGTTGCCTGCTTCGGGAAGAGAAAGCATGCATTTCTGTAGAATTCCCAAGGCTGTGCTGCCCATTAGGCTTGTCATTGACTTTCAATTGAACAGCATTTATACTGTATCTTGTTGGCTTATTAGTGCTGTCATCCTTATTACCTTCTTATTCTTATTCCCATTTGATAGATAAGGAAAATCAATTCTATGAATTTGTGTTGAGAAACTGTTTTAAGTTTTTGTTTTTGTTTCTTCTTAAAGATTTTGTTTATTTATTTGACAGACAGAGATTACAAGTAGGCAAGAGAGGCAGGCAGGGAGAGAGAGGAGGAAGCAGGCTGTCCACGGAGCAGAGAGCACAATGTGGGCCTCGATCCCAGGACCCTGGGATCATGACCTGAGCCGAAAGCAGAAGCTTTAACCCACTGAGCCACCCAGGCGCCCCAGAGAAACTGTTAAGTTTTATGATTAAAAATGTTACAACTTGCTCAGTCATTTTACCAGTTAGATAAACCAGAATATATTCAGAGGAGCATAACATGTGTTATATGAGAAGCAGTTAGTTGAATAAAGAGAGACCTGCAGGTAGTACAAAATGAGGTAGGGAAGTAGGAGAAATTGTTGCCTTCAGATATGTGAAGGACTTTGAACAGAAAGGCTTCTGACTCATGCCAAGAGGTAGATTAAGACAACTTGGCAGAAGCTAGAGGGAAACTTAATTTTGTTTCATTATAGAGAATATAAGAAATCTATATGAAAGTCCAAAGAAGGGTTGGATTACTTTAGAAGATACTGAGCTGCCTATCCTTGGAAGTGTTTAAAGAAAGACCAGATGGCCATTTGGCTATTAGAAGGAGTCAAGCAACAGATGACAGATGGACTGGATCCCACAACTGAGTGCCTATCAGTCACCTGGCAGCCTCTTAAAAATAGATTTCATGATCTTATCCCAGAATTAATAAGTTGAATCTCCTGGAGTAGGACCTAGGGATCTGTGTTTTGAAAAGGTTCCCCAGGTGATTCTGGCAGAGTCGTTGCACAGGCTAGCATCAGGGAAGCACTTAAGCAATGATGTTTATGAAAGCTTCTTCCAATTCTGCGAGTCTGTGGAAGAGCTGAAACTAGAACCCAGGTCTCTGATTCAACACACTTTGCTTTTCACTGCCTCACTTTCTGGGGTCGTGGCACATTCTTGAAGGGTGTCTTGAGGCTGGAGTTGCAGAGTGAAAGTGTAGGCTGTAGGACAGGGGTTGTTCGAATGTGCAGCTGAACGCTGCTGCTGACCTGTCTGTGTCTCATAACTGGTCGTCTCTTGTTAGGGGATCCCGCCCCCACATGCCAGAGAATTCACTGCTGGGCTTTCTTAAAATCATCACCCTTGTAAATAAGCAGACAGACATAATTGGAGACTGACTTGCTGAGACTGCAGCTTAGCCAGTCCAGCTGTTCCAGTTCTGTGAAAGCCTTTTAAAAGAAGTGGATGAGTCAGATGGGTTTGACTATGAAACCTATTAAGAGGAAATACTTAGGTATGCAGCAAACTGGTGTTAGAGCCAAAGAGGGAAATAGTTACGGGTTCTCAGCTTCGACACACCATTGGGAAAGTTTGCTGCTCTTGTGGGAGGTGGGATCCTCTGTGTCCTTTAATCTTGTAGCCTGAGGGTAATTTGATTGCTAAGTGTTTTGAGTTCCTGTATGCAAGACACAGAGGGTAAAGTGTGAATGAGATTTGGTCTCTCCTTTTTTTGGAGCTCACAGATGATTGAGGGGGAGATGTATAAATTGATTTAATAAATAGGTAGATGCTGTGGGAGCATTTAACAGGAAATGACTGGTTTGCTGGGAGAGTGAGGGGAATGATACTTCCTTTGTCGTTGAGGACTGAATATGAGTTTATCACACAGAGAAAAGAAACCTCCACAGAGAGGGAATAGCATGTCCAAAGTCATGGAGGTAAACAACTTATACAGGTGTGTAAGGAAAGAAAGAATTCAGAGTGATTATGATTTGAGACCTGTAGTGAGAGATGGAACTGGAGAGAGAGCTTGGAGGCAGATCAGGAAGCCAGGAGAGGACTGTTGGTGGTAGAGAGCCAAGAGAGGACTGTTAGAGTGATCGGGGCTTTGTCCACATTGGCACTGATCTAGAAGGTGTTGGAGTTGGACTTGCGGCTGCTGGAGCGAGAACCTAAATGCAGTTTTCCAGGCAGGAGATGTTCAGTGCCTAAAGTTAAGTAGTAGCAATGGGGATAGAAAGGAGGGGACGATTTCAGTAGCTATTCAAGAGAGAAACCGTGTGGGCATCTATTTGAACTGTTTGACAATTAGAGAAGATCAGATCCACTCAATTTGCGAGAGAATAATAGAAGAGATGCGTGCCAGGAAGCAGACTGTCTTGGAATACCCAGGTCTCGTATTAACTTGAACGTCCCCTCTTTACACAGGTTAGAAGTCCAAGCCGATGTCCAAAAGGAAATTTTCCCCAAAGACACAGCCAGTCTTGGTGCAATTAGTGACAACGCAAGTACTCGTGCTATGGCCGGTTCCATAATCAGTTCCTACAACCCACAGGACAGGTATGTGCACAGTCAGAGATGCCCAGGAGAGGATACAGTTTGTGGTCGGGTCCTAGGCCTTCAGAAGCTCAATGCCTCATGTTAGGACTGTGTGTACCATCAGATGGGATATATAGCGTGTACCCCAAGTTCCCTGGGCAGGTTCTTGGTATAGGAGTGTTTGGGATCTCTTGATCGATTCTTCTTATTAGTACTTGATTTTTAGGTGTTTCTTTCTTTCTTCCTTTTCTTCCCTCCCCCCCTTTTTTGGGTCTTTTTTGGCTATTGTATAATTATTCTCATGAAACTTGAGCTAGGTTGCTGTTCAGTGATGTCTGTGGGTCGGTGGCTTTTGCTCTCATGTCACCCTTTGCCTGATGTGACTCCTGTCACCTAGTTCTCTTTATTTTTGAGAAGCTAGTGTAACTGATAGGGTGTGATTGCAGCACTCCCTCCTGGAGAGGTTCTGGTTTCTTCTAATTGTGACACAGTAGTAAAACACTACGAATCTTCTTTCTCTTTCGTATATTGAGTAAGATATTGGTGAGGGTCCAACCCTTAGTTGAATTTTGAAAGCTATTTTTTGGTTGTGTAAAGAAATTGGCAGAGGTGTGTGTGTTCTTAATCATCAAAAGGAATCTAGTTCTTCTTCATCTTATTTGAGAGTTAGGTTAACTTTTTATTTTTGCTAAAAGTGAACTTTAGTTTACAGTTTACCTATGTTTTGGACTTCCTAATCCTGAACCCACAAACTGCTTGTACCCACAGGTATAGCATGACCCATACATGACTCAGCAAAGTGGATTTTGTCTCCACAGAGACTGCAACAATATGGAAATCCAAGTGGACATTGAAGCCAAACCAAGCCACTATCAGCTGGTGAGTGGAAGCAGCACGGAGGACTCGCTCCATGTTCACGCTCAGATGGCAGAGAATGAAGAAGAAGGTAGTGGTCGTGGCGGCAGTGGCAGCAATGAAGAGGATCTCTCCTGCAAACACCAAAACTGTGAACAGAAAGACTGCGTGGCCAGCAAAGCTTGGGACATCAGCCTGGCCCAGCCGGAGAGCATCCGCAGTGACCTAGAGAGCTCTGATACGCAGTCAGACGATGTGCCAGACATCACCTCAGATGAGTGTGGCTCCCCTCGCTCCCATACGGCAGCCTGCCCCTCAACTCCCAGAGCCCAAGGTGCACCGAGCCCAAGTGCCCATATGAACCTCTCTGCCCCAGCCGAGGGGAAGACTGTTTGGAAGCCAGAAGGTGCAGAAGCCAGAGTATGAAGTGGAATGAATGCTCCTGTTCTGAGAAGCACACTTGTTGTAACTGCATCTTTTGGAATCTTTTTTTGGGGAGGCGGGGATTTATATATTTTATTTCAAAGATTCTCTGGTCACAGGTTTTCCCCAGGGAAATTCTGAGAAATTTGCAATTTCTTACCAGAAAAAAACATGGAGATTTTTGCCCTTAGTCCTACCCCCCCCCCCCCCCTCCCTCCTATTTTTAGTTTTAATTTATTGGTTAAACTGATGGTGGCAATCCGTGAGGTGTGTCAAAGAGTGTACAGATGTATGTGTGTATATTGTATGTATGCTAACATATTACTGAAGGACACATTTTAATAAAGATTTCTGTCTTAATTCAACTCAATCTCATTTTCCTTGGCTTGGATAGTCCTCCAGAGCCAAGTATTTGAATAGACCACTTACGTCTTTAACAGTCTCTAAACCAGAGTTTTCCCAGTCCCAGGAAAGGATTATATTCTAATTAGACTGCAGTGGAGTCCTTTATGAACCCACGGCTCCTAGCCTGCCAGGAAGCAAAGGTAGCTTGTTTTGGACTGGGCTATCAGACTAAAGAATTAGCTGAGTCAGCCATATGGAGAAGCTGTAGATTACAATGAACCTTGTTTGCCCTCTAGAGGCAGCTGTGTAGTTTTGCTGCGAAAGCTTTATTTCTCCTCATTGTAGTCACTGGTAGAAATGTGCTTCATTGGGGGGAAAGGAGGTGGCTGTTCCAGTGGCTCTTCAGAGAGATCCTAGGGAATGGTGCAGGGTTACAAGATGGGGACAGAGTATTCTTACTTGCATAATCACCAAGCAATAACCCAGGTGTTTGTTATATTCTTCGGTACGCATTCCCTGTTCCAAAAATCTTTCTCCGTTTTGCCAATGTAGTTTAAGTAAGGACCTAAGGAATCTGACTGAAATTTGTAATGAAAGGAGAAAGGAGACATGCCATTAGAATCTCAACCTTTAATTTTATCTGTTCTTATAAATTCATCAGAATTGAGCTAAGTTAGTACTACTTGGGATTTTGGCTCTGTCTAGAATAATGACCTTAGCAAGAAAGCTCATACATAGTGTAGCAGAAAAACTAAAAGATTCATGAAACCTGATGTAAGATTCTAAATCTGGCAGTAACTTTGTGACTGTGAATCAATATCTATCTCATGCCCCTGATTTCCCACTCTTAAACAATATTTAAGGAGCTTCCAATGCCAGACTTCTAGCACCTTAGCCCTGGGCCCAGAGGAAGAGTTGCAAACATCCTTTCCCTGAGGACCAGATGGCTCTCTGTTTCCTTTCACAGATGCACCTGCTCCTTGTCTTGCTGACCTGTGCTTTACCACAATGAGGAGGATGAGTCTGGACAACAACTTGGAAGATCCTTGTCTCTTGGGCACTGCAGCTAGACTGAGCACATTTCCCTGCACATGGAACAGGAGATGCTCTTAGTGGACTTCGCGGGTCTGTGGAAGAAAATGCGCTAAGGTCCTTGTGTGAAAAAGGGAACCTGTTGGAGAAAAGGGCAGTCAGTCTGAAAATCCCTGAAATGCGAATAACTCAAGATTGCAATTCTCTTGAAGGCTCACCAGAACAGCAGTTAATTGGATAAAAGCAAAGAAGTCTTTTGGAGGGACAAGAGTTGGCAGCCAAACCTGTGTTGTTATCTCAGCTCCACTTCCCATTGTGAGACTTGCTTCTGATCGGCTTTCGCTTAGCCAACATGGGGAAAACAATCCTTAACTATGGCGTCGTAAAGTGACATGGTGTACTGAAATGCTTTTGGTGAAGACCCGTTGTTTTTTTCCTCCTGCAGGAATAAGAAGAAATAAGGGAGATTATGAGTGTCATCTAAGAAAAGCCCAGAACTCTAGACCAGAGGCTATGAAAAACTAAGCTTATTCTAATCCTTTGCAACTCTCTTGCTGTAAATCCTAGATATTAGCAAGGATGAAAAAGCCCTTTGGCGCCACCTGGAGGACACCATGAGTAATGCATTGGAAAAGTTCTCCCTTTAGAAAATGGGGAAAGTAACTTCCTCTTTGTACAGCATTCATTCATTTTGAAATGCCTCCATTTCAAGTGTGGAATGCAGCAAAGAAGAAAACACGAAATTATCGTCCCCATGGAACTTACACTGTAGTGGAGAAAGACCATCAGATCTATAGCCTGGATGAGGATAAGTGCACTGAAGAAAACAAAGCGGGGAGAGGGAAGAGAGAATGGTAGATGGTGCTACTTCAGATGGTAGTATAGGCTTTTTCGTAATTTTATCAGAGTCCTAAGGGGATTGAGAAAGGACCAAGCGAATATCTAGGGGAAGAACATACCAGACAGCAAGAATAGAGTGCAAAGGCTCTTTGGTGGTACATACTTAGTCTGATTAAAACACACAAACACACACACAGCTTAGAGACCTGTATGACTAGGGATGCGACTCTGAGGCCAGGAAGAAGGTAATCTTTAAAGCCAGACAGATGGGCTGCTTGCAGTCAACTTTCAAAGGGGCTAAAACTGAGGCGGAGTGGGGGGTCTGGTCACCAGTCCTGCTTGGATGGGCTAACGTAAAGAAATTCATGGATATGGTAAATGGGTACTTACTCACTCTGACCCTTCCTAATATTATTGTACTAGTACTTTTTGTACTCCAGAGGCTGGAAAGCTAAAAACTACACGTCTTAAACTTCCTTAAACCAAGGTTCTGAATATAGTTTAAGTTTTGCCAATTAAGTGAGCAAACAAGATGTGGAAGAAGAAGTGATCGAGGGATCATCTTCAGCTACTTTGACTGGTTGCTACTGCAAAGATATAGAGACCTTAGGTTTCTCTTCAACGGTATTCCAGTATCTTTCCATAGTTTTTTGAAGGAAGGGCTTCCTGATCCATAAATAACAGTGATGTGTGTTCTTGTAGTCAGCCTGTGGTGGCCTCCTGATGCCTCGTGTGGATGGCCGCAGACGTAACGGCTACCAGGGTAGACAGGATTGTCAGTTTTTCCCGGAAGTCCAGCCCAGAGCCCACTTGCTCAGGCTTTCCAGTGCTTACAAGCACCTAATTTACTTGTACTGGATCCTTTTCTACTTAAAATAGGTAGAAGGGTTTTGCTTCCTACAACTACGAAATGCTGATAATGGTATTTGGTTCCAAAAATGGCTATAGGCAATATGCCCTCAAAGACGGGACCCCTAGATTAGTTATGACTCAGTTGGATTTGAAGGAAATGAGGATAAAATTGCCATTGGGAAGCAGGAGACAAAGATTACTTACATTTACGGTCACTTGAAATGAAATGTCTTTTGGAGAACTTTGGCAGATCAAATGGCTGCCACTATCGATCGTCATGTAAGAAATGAGGGCCTAGATGGGGCGGCTCTGCTAAAGAAGGAAAGAGGGGCGGGCGCCGTCCGACTCGGTTTCAGCTTCGGTCATGATCTCAGGATCTTGGGATTGAGTCCCACATTGGGTCTGTGCTCAGCTGCAGAGTCTGCTTTGGATTCTCTCTCCCTCTCCCACTGCCCCTCCCTTTCTCTCTCTCTCTCTCTCACACACACACACACACACACGCGGGTGCACTTGCACACACGTGCTCTCAAATAAGAATTTTTTTTAAGTAAAGGAAAGAAAACCAAAGGCTCAAGCCACATATGGGAGAGCCCCAGAATTTTTTTTTTAAGATTTTATTTGACAAAGATCACAAGTAGTCAGAGAGAGAGGAAAAAGCAGAAACAGGCTCTCTGCTGAGCAGAGAGCCCAATGCAGGGCTTGATCCCAGGAGCCTGGGATCATGACCTGAGCCGAAGGTAGAGGCTTTAACCCACTGAGCCACCCAGGCGCCCCCCCAGAAGAATTTCATCTCTTGCAATTGCAAGGCTGATGTACACGAAAATCAGAAGGAGATTCTGGGTTATAGAATTACAAAAGTTAAATTCATAGCCTTATCATGTCTCTTATGTGAAAATCACAGCATTGTTTGGGAGAGAGTGGGACCCTGAAATGAGAAATGGGGACATTTGAATGGATTTGGATAAACTCCAGTGTTCTGAATCCAGATTCCACTTATCTTCTCACCAGCAGAAACAGCCTTTCTTCCCCTCACTGATATGACTGGTCCTTTCTTACTTGGAGACGCTCGGGTACTTGTCTTAAAAGGGAAAGCCAGTACTTATGTCCCACCCACTACCCTATATTGCCACCAGATCTGTAACTAGAGTCTGATCCCAGTACGTTTTTGGAAGCAAACACAAAGTGTGATCTGAGAGATGTCTTACAGAAGAATTGTCAGGTTTTGTTAATTTGAATCAGCAGAAGCCTGGATCTTAAAAGTTTAAATCAGACCAGAAAAAAAGAACATTATTTTCATTTGGGTTGAATTTATTAATATGGAAATTCTAGAGATACTGAATTCAATATTTTGGCTTTAGCAGCTAAGAGTGTTTCTTAGCTGGTCGGTTAGATGAAGCCTGGACTGAACAGTGGTCTATACTCAAACTGAAATGCCAAATACTCCTCAGTATGGCATTAGAAGATGAACCCAAAAACATGAAGATAAAAATATTGATGCAGATTTATCATATGTGTGACTTACTCATCTAATTTTGCCCTCCAGAATTGCTCAGATGGTATTTCTTTCCCCAAGGAATTGGAAAATACACAGATAAGGGGAACACCTTGCCTGGGAAAATGCTGTAGTTTATGTCCTCCATAGGCTGGGAATTAAACTTGGAGATGCTGCTGTTGAAACGGAATCCCTGATGTCAGTGGGGATGATGGGATACTGGAGTGGCAGGGGGGAAAGGGCAGTACCAAGGCAACAGAGCCGGGGTGATGGTCCTATTTGTTTTGTATAACCCAAAGCAAGACTCCAGATCTGGCAAAGAGACCTGTTTTGAGTCACCAAAATGGAGAGTTATGAACTCTCACTAAATTCTCAGACCCAAGGTCCTGAATAAAGGGGTGCTTAGTACCCTGGAGGGAGCACCCAATAATATCACCATAACTACAATTGTAAACCTTTTGATCCTCCCTAAAGGAATCTTAAGGCATTTATCCATGTTCCTGTGCTTAGGGAAATGGAAATATCCAGGCCTTTAGGGAATACTTAGGAACGAGCCCCATGCTAGCAGTAATCCTAAGAAACCTAAAAGGTCTTTGTGGTCCACTAGTTAGAATAGAGGTTTATGGGGTGTTATGGGTTGAATTGTGTCCTCCAAAATGTACGTGTTGGGAGTCCTAACCCCTAACACCTCAGAATGTGACCTTATTTGGAAATAAGGGCACTGCAGAAGTAATTGCATTAATAGGTCATATTGGGGTAGGATAGGTCCCTAGACTAATATGATTGCCTATATGTAAAAGGATA